ATAAGCTCATGATTTTCAAAATATCAATAATAAAAAAAAATCCATGCTTGTAGTGAGACCACAATAAGTAAATAGATTTACTAATACAAGCAACGAAAAGGCAATTTGTCCAAGATATTTCAAATTTGGGCTCGATGTCCTATCATGAAATGGTAATCCTAATCGAACACAATCCAATCTATCCAGTTTATCAAGAAAAGCTCTTAACAGTTTCAAGTGCTACCACTAAAGAACCTGGAAACAAAACAAAGCCCATAACTTCATCTCTTATTTTACAAACCTGCTGAAATTAGAGCATTTAAGAGACCAAATATCATCGGAGCCGACAACTTTGGACTTCCAACAGGTGTACCCATTTCCACTGATTCCAGTATCTGAAATGCTTCATCAATTCTTCTAGCCACACCCAAACCCTATCGAACAATAATTAAAGTAATAGTCAAACTAATATGAAATCAAAAACAAAAGTTACGAAAACAGAACACCTCAATTCAAATTCAAGTACCTTTAACAGAGTCCCATAAGAGACACCATCAACCCCAGAACTTCCTGACTTGCACATTTCATCAAACACCTTAAGAGCAGACTCGGTATCCCCGCAATGCACACAAGCTTCCATCACCGCATTCATAACTATCGTATATAACTTCCCATACCTTCTCTTAGCACTCTCGACTTCCTCAAAAATCTGTTCCAATGGCCTTCTTCTAGTGAGCTGAACTTTTCGAAAGGTAAGGCGTTTAAGACTATGATGAGGCTTGTGAAACCTACGACGAGTGGGTGTAGAGGAATAAGAGAAGGTGATTTTGAAAGTGGGTAATGGGTTTGATGATGGGAACTTAGTAGAATAGAGGGAGAGAAGATGATTTTGCATGGCATTGCTGGTGATGTTAGTAGTGAAAAAAACCATTAATGATCAGCCATGGAAATGAAGGTGGAGCTTAGAGAGGGAGAGGAGAGGGAAACAAGGATAACGGATAATGTGTGGGCAAAGATGGAAATTAATGGCGGGTAAATAAGTGGAGGATGCTGAAGATGGTTAGGTTTGGAGTTGGACTATTCATCTTGTAGCTACCAGGCCCGTGACCTGGTTTTTGGGCCGGTACCGGGTCATGGACCGGGTCAAGTTTATGAACTTCAGTTACCAAAAAAACCATAACCAACTTAAAAAAATTACACTCAAAGTCCTTCTTCTCTTCCTCTATTATCTTCCATCTCATATAAAAAAAACACGAGCTGGATCTGTTCGGGTCAGTCAAATATTCTCTCTCTATCTCTCACTGAATTCCACACGCTCTCTCTCTTTCTTATAGTTGGATCTCACCGCATCGTTATACGGTTCGTTTTGCCTCTCGAATTCTTTCTCGATCTGTTTGGATTCCGAGAAAGTGATTCCATTTTCTCAGTACCCAAAGTTATTGCTCTTTTATCGGTTTTGAATTATCATTACTATCATTTATGGCTCTAATTGATTGATTTTTAGGTTTCGATGTGCTCACAATATAAGACGACGACTTTTTGATTGATTATTGCTTTGTATTTAGGATTCTGATCTGAGTTTAGACTGAGCAGATCTGAAATGCGTTTTTTTATTAATTTCTAGATCTAATTTTGATTATTTTTTATTATTTTTGAGTAATTTAGTTGATTAGTTGTTATTGTTTAATGTTTTTGGTTTTGGTGTGAATTACAGATTTACTTGTTATTGTTTAATGTTTTTGGTTTTGGTTTTGGTGCGAATTACAGATTTAGTTACATTTATGTGTTAATTGTGCTGGATCTGTAATTTAGGTAAAAATTTGGTTAGTGATTTGTGTGTGAATTTTGATGGAAAGTTGTCAGAATGTGATGATTTGGGAACACTAGTGGAAAAGGTTGGAGTTTGTGAGAAGGTTGAATTTGTTTTGTTTTGTTAAATTAGTGATCACATTGATTAGTGTTTACGATTTGAAGAAGTAAAACGAGAATGCTGTTAGATTTTAATGCCTCGTGCTGATTTGATTTTGCTTCTAGTTGCAAATTTGGTGTCCTTCAAATTGGCATTATTATGTGAACGGAACGTGTTAAATCATGTGGTATCTGTAATGTAGGTAGAATAAGTTTGGTCACTGTGGTAATTCTAACTGAATTAGATGGAAATGGTAGGATGTTGTTAAGAATTTGAGTTGTGTCAATTGGCTTAATATTATGAAATAGAGAGGCTAAATGTATATATCATGATATTTGTGGTATTTTTTTTCAATCTTGGGCTTTTCTGAATAGAGATGAATTATTTGGAAGAGACAGGAAACTTATTTTATTTATTTATTTATTCAGTTGTTCTTACATTTTATTTTTCACAGTCGGTGTCTGTTTATCTTATATTGATTTCAGTTAACATGTCTTTTTTGTATTACCAGGAAATAAAAAAGAGATGGAGAAGTCTTGTACATTTCTTGTGCACTTTGATAAAGGGACCCCAGCTATAGCTACAGAGATCAAAGAGGCGCTTGAAGGCAGTGATGTGTCAGCTAAGATCGATGCCATGAAGAAAGCAATTAGTCTTTTATTAAATGGGGAAACCTTACCACAACTGTTTATCACCATAGTCAGATATGTCCTGCCATCAGAAGACCACACAGTCCAGAAACTTTTACTGTTGTATCTGGAGATTATTGACAAGAAGGATGCCAAGGGGAGGGTGTTACCAGAGATGATTCTCATATGCCAAAACCTGAGGAACAATCTTCAGCACCCCAATGAATACATTCGTGGGGTGACATTGAGGTTTCTCTGTAGATTGAATGAGACAGAAATAATTGAACCACTTATCCCTTCAGTCCTTCAGAATCTAGAGCACCGACATCCATTCATTAGGAGGAATGCTATCTCAGCTGTGATGGCCATTTATAAGCTTCCTCATGGTGAGCAGCTTTTGATTGATGCTCCAGAAATGATTGAGAAGGTTCTGTCAACAGAGCTAGATCAGTCAGCTAAGAGGAATGCTTTTCTCATGCTCTTTAATTGTGATCAAGATCGGGCCACTAATTACCTCTTGACCAATGTTGATAAGGTCTCTGAATGGGGTGAACTGCTGCAGATGGTTGTCTTAGAGTTGATTCGGAAGGTGTGCAGAACAAATCGAGGAGAGAAGGGAAAATACATTAAGATCATTATATCATTGCTGAATGCCCCTTCTAATGCAGTTATTTATGAGTGTGCTAGTACACTTGTTTCTTTGTCATCTGCACCTACTGCTATTAGAGCTGCTGCAAGCACCTATTGCCAGCTTCTAATTTCTCAGAGTGACAATAATGTGAAGCTTATAGTTCTTGATCGTCTGAATGAGCTCAAGTCTTCTCATAGAGAGATCATGGTTGACAGGATTATGGATGTGCTTAGGGCGCTATCCAGCCCGAATCTAGACATTCAGAAAAAGACTCTAGATATTGCCCTTGATTTGATCACCCCAAGGAATATCAACGAGGTTGTTCTTATGTTGAAGAAGGAAGTTATGAAGACTCAAAATGGAGAGCTTGAGAAGAATGGTGAGTACAGGCAAATGCTCATCCAAGCCATCCATTCTTGTGCCATCAAGTTCCCAGAGGTGGCAAGCACAGTTGTTCATTTGTTGATGGATTTCCTGGGAGACAGTAATGTTGCTTCAGCTATTGATGTTGCCATATTTGTCCGGGAGATAATTGAGACAAATCCAAAACTGAGGGTTTCTATTATAACAAGACTGTTGGATACTTTCTACCAGATACGAGCTGCAAGGGTTTGCTCCTGTGCTCTTTGGATAATCGGTGAATATTGTCTGTCCCTTTCAGAAGTTGAAAGTGGCATTGCAACCATCAAGCAATGCCTGGGAGAATTACCATTTTATTCAGTTTCAGAAGAAGGGGAAGCACCTACTGATGCTTCTAAGAACTCTCAACAACCAAGTTCTGTTACAGTTTCTTCTAGAAGGCCTGCTATTCTTTCTGATGGGACTTACGCAACACAGAGTGCTGCTTCTGAAACTGCCTTTTCCCCTCCTACCATTGTTCAGGGGTCATTGGCTGCTGGGAACTTGAGATCCCTTCTTCTCACTGGTGATTTTTTCCTGGGAGCAGTTGTGGCCTGCACTTTGACAAAGCTTGTTCTGAGATTGGAAGAGGTGCAACCTTCTAAGGTTGAAGTAAACAAAGCATCCGCCCAGGCATTGTTGATCATGGTCGCTATGATACAACTTGGGCAGTCACCAGTTCTATCACACCCTATTGACGGCGACTCTTATGATAGGATTCTCTTGTGCATAAGATTACTATGCAGTACAGGTGATGAGGTCAGGAAGATATGGTTGCAGTCTTGCCGTCAGAGTTTTGTCAAAATGCTTTCAGAGAAACAGCTGAGGGAAACTGAGGAACTAAAGGCAAAGGCTCAGGTTTCTTATGCACAACCAGATGACCTTATTGATTTCTACCATTTGAAGAGCAGGAAGGTAAGAAAGATTTGAGTTTTTTTAGTTTTTAACTTGGAGTTTGCTAAGAGCCACTGCTAGTTTTGGTTATTAGTATTTGTTACTATCATTGATACATTCCTTGATAGTTGCTTATGGAAAAGTGATATTAATACTTGTTTTTGAGCTATGCTGCATTTTCCCCTTAAAACTCATGTAGCTGCATATTTTACATGATTTTTCTGATGCTGTGAACCAAGTCTCTTAAAAGTTGCTTCTTTACCCTTTCATTCTTTGAGAGTTGGATCTGCTTGATATTATTTAAGCGTCATTTTCATATAGACTGATTCAGTTTTAGGCATTAGTATCATTTGCTAGCAAAGATTCAATGCCAGTGACCATTTCTTGCTATGATGTTTTGTACTTCCAAGTTGATGTTTTCCTCATGTTTCAATGGTCAGGTCTCTTCATTTCATTTTTTTTTTTTGGTTGAATATATAGGCAGTGCTTGATTTCAGATGCTGTTAATTGATATCACGGTGATTTTCAGTTGATTAGTAAAATTTTCACATTAAGTGTTCCTGGCTTCATCTAAATTACAGGGTATGAGTCAGCTGGAGTTGGAGGATGAAGTTCAAGATGATTTGAAAAGAGCAACGGGAGAGTTCATCAAGGATGGGGATGATGCAAATAAGCTTAACCGCATTCTTCAGCTTACAGGATTCAGTGACCCTGTTTATGCTGAAGCTTATGTGACAGTTCATCACTATGACATTGTACTTGATGTCACAGTGATCAACAGGACAAAAGACACTCTCCAGAATTTGTGCTTGGAACTTGCCACAATGGGTGACCTGAAACTGGTGGAGCGGCCACAGAACTACATCCTAGCTCCTGAGTCTAGTAAGCAGATAAAGGCCAACATCAAGGTGTCCTCAACCGAGACTGGAGTGATTTTTGGCAATATTGTGTATGAGACATCCAACGTACTTGAGCGGACAGTTGTTGTCCTTAACGACATCCACATTGATATCATGGATTATATTTCTCCTGCAGTTTGTACAGATGCTGCTTTCAGAACAATGTGGGCAGAGTTTGAATGGGAAAACAAGGTACCACTGGCATTCCCTTTGGCTTGTTTATTTCTGTGATCTGTGTTGCATGCCTGCTGCAATGATGTAAGACTCTTCAAATTTCATTTGGCATGATCATGCAAGGATACAACCCTCACTTTTTTGAGTTACTGGGACATGAGTAACAATTTGCACAATAATATCCGAACTGCAGCATTCCATTTTTATATAATGATAGCCACTTGAATTGTGGTATGATGTAAAGCTAATATTCTTTTCTGCGCAAGTAAAGCTTTAGTTATTTGGGTATTTAATTCTCTGTTCTTATTTTTTTGGTGAGAAAATGATTTCTTTGCTGGCCTCAATCTAAACTATCATCCCTTGCAAATTCTGTTGGTGGCTGGCAGTACTAACCATGTCTTTGTTATTGACTTTGATGTCATCACCGGCCTGAATCCTGCTTAAGGGATTGTCTCTAGACCGGATGTTTCTGAATTCAATCTCCATTCCTTATTCTTATTTTGGTTTCTGCACACCTCT